CGGCAAGCTGTCCATGGGCACTTAAGTGCAAAGGGTGGTTTTTCTTTTCAAACTCCAATAATCTCTTTTACCATTCAGGCACCAGGCACACATTGCAGTGTGTCTGAAAATAGAATGTGTTGGAATCGGCCCTTACAATGCAAACTTGTCAAATTGCCGGGTGTCGGCAAAATGTATCAATTCCTTTCTATTGGTTGCATCGAAATGAGGCAAACAGAAACAACTGGTATGCTTGACAATGTCAGGCATCTCAATAAGTCCCTGATTCTGTTCGCATCCACAAACAGGCCAATATTCTCAATCACGAACATCAGGGCCCAATCTGCCGGCTCTGCTAAATCCAAAGCTGCTTACAAAGAAAGTAGCACCAACTTCAGACTTTGGAACCAAAATGGCTGTTCATTTTGTGTGCAGTACAGCATGCACCTACTGTCTGCTAACTGTCCAAGTGGACTGACGCATAATCCACCATTTTGGTTCCAACAGTTCAGACATTCATGTCGCGACTCTCTTACAAACACCTCTGTGCTAAACCATGACACTCTGCCCTTGTCAAGTAACCAGAGTCCTTCACAGTGTCAGTTACACACCCTATGCTTGCACAAAAGCCGACATTCCTGGATAAAACTCACAACAAAAGCAAACCATAAACCAATTGTTTTCTGATCTTTAGTGAAGATGCTTGGCTTGCAGTGAGCAGACATTTTCCAACAATGGAACAGGTAGGATTCCTAGCAGAAAATTCCGAGTGCATGTACATATACCTTGAGTTTCAAACAAAGAACAACACAGCCAATCGCCAAATCTGATCTTACTTGTATAAAAGCTCCATCTTGTAGCACATGAAAATATACACAGTACACGTAATGAAATTTCCCACACGTACGCATTCAAAAGTATGTGGCACGACGCAGAGACCCATCCACCAAAGAATTTTTTTATAGAGTTAACTGCTTTAACCCCTTCACGGCAGAATATTTTGACCACAACTGCTGGGCCTTGGCATGAATGCAGGGCTTTGTCCAGCAGCAGGCCCCATTGAACCAGCAGCTGCATGGTGAATAGACTTTATGTGTGGTATGCACTAATCCTCACTCACCGGTGCGGTAGTAGCAGTCCTCCTTAGCGAAGGGGTTAACTTCACACTCAATTTGGTCCCTCTGAAGACCGCACAATTTCTCTCACAAATATATATATATACAAGAAAGCAATCCAATACGAGTGCTTGTACAAATGAGCTCCACAGGTAAACCAGCAAAATCAGTCATCCAAGATCAAAATCAGTTGTCCTACATTAAAATCAGTTGTCCAGTATCAAAGTCAGTTGTCCTTTGTAATTAGTTGTTCATGTATTTCAAATAGAAAATAATTGTAAATTTAACATAAGCATGTGGCTGAAATTTTTTACAACTCTTTTGCATTACAAAAAACTATTTCTCAAATATTTTCTCCACCCTTAACATTTAATAAGTGGGGCTAACTTTAGGCTAAAAATGGTTCCCTTAAAAAGGGATGTGGCAATGTGACTAGGTGGGTGGGTGTCATTCATCATGGAGGACTTTTTTGTGCCGTACACTGGAAATGTCTGAATAAAAAATTGATGCTGATGACAACTCAATAGGGGCGGAGCTTATTTCCAGAAATGGAAATTTGTGAAGAGGTGGGGCTTAATTTCTCAGTGGGTTGGGCTGCACATACACTTTCAGTTGCAATGGTGCAAACAACAAAGCAATTTAGGTTTCTTTTCGAATGAAAAATTTCAGCGCTTTTCTTGAGACCATTTTAAATATCACTGGTAACTCCCTTTTCATGTCTCTTGAGGAACCACTTCCCATAAAGGAGGGTGGAGCTTTCTTGAAATTGAGACAGGCCACTACCTTCCTTATGGGAGAAGCTACAGTGGAAATGGGAGGAGCTACCTTTCCTCACAGGAGGAGCCCATGTCAAAACGGGAGGGGCTACCTTCCTTGTAGCAACATCCACTGACAGAATGGGTAGGGCTAACATCATCACAGGAGGGGCTTCTCTTCTAGTGGGTGGAGCTTGTGGCACGGCAGTACCGCAGGAACTTGAAGAAGAGATTGGTGACAAAGTACCAGAGGTTGCGAGCGATCTGGGAGCGAGCGATGAGGACCCGCCACAGGAGGACGAGCAAGACGGTGTTGAACATCCACCGAATGTTTCGCAGACTGCACAAACAGAAACAGGATGACGTTACAACGAAAAGAAAAGTCGGTCCTCTTGACGGATCAATTTGATTAATTATAATACAACGGGTTGCAGCGATAGTCCAAAAGTTGTTGAATACTATTGCTTTTAGCTGTCAACATGAGCGCGCACTGTGTAAGGGAGCGTTTCATAATTGTTGAAGGCGGTATTTACTGCGGCACCGCTGTTTTTTTTAGCGGCACCGCACTTGTTACCCGAAAGGGCTTAATGCTGGTACCGCAAAAATACAGCGGTACCGCAGTAAATACCACCTTCTGTAATTATGAAACGTTCCCTAACTTGATAGGGCCAGGGCTACTTCTTATCCTCTGCACCCTACGGCGCCACGAAATCCATTGTTGCAATTTCTTGCACTCAGCAGGGATCTTGTTTCACCTGTGTTGCATTCTGTCGCATTTCGCTGCCTGGAGAGAACCCAGTTGGGGTCAAGGTTGAAAGAATGGATCCCATTCAATGCACACATACAAATCTTCTACCAACTTTCTAAAACAAAAAAACGTCTCAAGCTTACGTTCTGATGTTTCTCCTGGCAATGTGCAACGAGTTGAGGTCTTCATTCAGCACGTAGCGCTTGGTGCCGATGCAATACGTCTCAATGTAAGCCTCCCAGTCAAGAGGGCGCACATCTATGTAAAAGCTCTGCTCGAGAGACAAATAAATACGAACAAAGATAGAGTGTGTGCTGCCCTTCAAACCTTGTACTCAGGGTTGCATATTTCAGCAAAAGGCTGCACCGAAACCTAGCTCTACTACTGAGCCTTGGGAGTGAGGTTGGAACACTGACAGAAGATTTTGGTTCGTGATTTGAATCGGTTCCGGGGGAAGGGGGGGAGACAGGGGTTCACCTTCTTGTCGTCTTCGGACATGAGAGCCTGCATAGCCTCCAGGTTGTGGTTACTCCACTCCCAGTGGTGAGTGGTGAAATACTTCAGTGTCTTTGTCGACTTGTAGATTCTGTCACACATCTTCACCATCCTGCAAAATAATTTGTGTCAATATCAACTGTCGGTGCTCCTTTCAGACACCGGCCAAACTCGGAAAGCTACAATTTAGTCAACTACAGGTCATTTGTGCTGGTACTCTGGGGGGGTCTTATGTGTACAGATTACCGGGCAAAGTCGTCCAGTGATTAACAACTGATTGCTGACGGGACTTGGCCGTTTCTTCCTCAAGAAGTTCTCTTATTTAAACCTTCCAGTACACAACAATGCATGGGGAACACAAACAGCACATTCACTTGTAAAGTAGTCACAACTTGGCCCTGAAGTCCTGAAAAAAACGGATGTGACATTTTGGAGAACCTGAGATGCTTACAGCTGAAATTTTGGTCTGGAAATTTGACTTTGGCTAGACTGGGCTATACCTTGGTTTCTGTCCTCTCACTTGCAGTGCCAAATCCATGAAGAAAGCAGGAACCATTGAGCCAATCATGTTCCAGTAGGTGTGCATGATACTGAAATAACAGACAGTGATTGGGTGGAATTTACAATGACAGTTAATATGCAAAGAGTGGGTGGGGCTTGGTGGCATATCTAGCCACACCTTCAGCAAGTTGAATTTGCATAATGTTGCTGTTGCAAAGGGACACTCAACTCCAACACTCAAATATATTCTCCTCTTGGGAAGACATAAGGTTGTGCACATTCAGTTGAAAATTGGTCACATGCCCTTCCTGAGTGACTCAATAAATTATCTGATGAAAATGTAGGCACATCACATTAACAACTTGTTTAGAAATGCACATGTGTGTGTGCATTTAAATTAGTGTCACATTTGAATACTTCATCAGAAGCTGAGTCAAAGATCATCACATTAGTGAATTTCTGTATTTCTATCCCTAAGGTAAGAATGGAACAGTCCTTACGGGTTTGATGTGAATGCAGCATTTGGTCTTCTGAACACCATCTCAAGGGGTGTTTTTGTGAAGTAATGTGTGATGTTGCCTGCAAGAGAAATAAAAATTAAGGTTAGCTTTGAATACAAGTATATGACTTCTCAGATACCATTTTAACAGATCAAAGACAATATGACTTGGCCAACAACTCCCAAGAAAAATTACTGGCAGAGGTCGAATTTGAACCTACAGCCTCCAGAATACTGTTCCAGTGATCTGCCAACAGTTATCTAAGCCCTGTGTTACCAGTCTCCAAACGAGAGAGGGTTCGAGCCTGTAACCACCTGATTATTGCCCAAGTGCTCTAACAAGAGGCTATCTCACCAGTATCACACCTCGAGGGGATTCGAACCCATGACCTCGTGAGTATTATATTTGTGCTCTGCTAACACAGCTGCTCAGCTCTATGTTAGAAATCTCCCAACTTTGGAGGATTCGAACCCCAGACTTCTGGAGTACTATGCTCATGCTCTGACAACACAGCTTTCCATCCCTACTGCATTTTTCTCTGCTGACTCACCGATGACTTGCCATTTTGAGGGGTTGGTTGAGCTGGTGACGCAGTTGTAGATGGGCGTTGTGGCTGGTCTGAAGTAGAGAAAAGGAAGAGAATTTTATAACGGCTGCCAAAAGGTATTAGTTTCCATCAACTCCAAGCCAGTGTCACAAGTGCTGTTTAAAGGAGGTCGACCTTTCATCAGGAACGTGACATTTCACCCGAATCCAGCTTAGCCTGGAAAATCTGCTTATCAAAAACAGGTTTCTGGTCAAAGTATCATGCCGTGTTTATAGCTTTTGGCTGGTACTTATGTACTTTGAGCTACCGTGATATTGAACTTGGACCCTTCAAGCTGGGGAATGCTGGTGACACGGCTTGTTCAAAATCAAGTGCTCTGCAAAGAAATGGGACTTGTTGACTCTCTGAGATGATCCCCCACCTGTGGAGTCCCGTATGCCAGGAGGCAGCAATCAGGGTGTTGACCACGTAATCCACCGGCGAGATATCAGCGACAGCTTCAGAGTCGGCGAGCATGGAGCGCAGCAGACCCATGCCAGTCTAAAGAGAAGACAAAAAATAAATCCTTAATAATATCTGCTGTACCGTCCACCTGTTTTCTCAAACGCTGTTGGCGTCTTTTGCTTGAAACCTTCTTGAAGTCTCCAAAATCCTCTATTGTGCAGGAACCAACTGAAATGACGCATCAAGTCACGTGATCACATGCTCTAATTAACGCATAGACAATTATAAATAATCAAATATCATTTCTGTAAATTGTTTTTAAGGGGTCATACTTACGGCAATGAAGAGTCCACTTGGCCCGTTGAAATTGTCAATCCAGCCCTGTTTATAAAAGTGCATGAAAAACATGGAAACAGTTATGAGGTTAAGTCACAGGTCAAAGGTCATTTCTAAATTTCTGCATGGATTAACAGGCTGTGGCTGAGACAAAGCCGAAGTCAGAGTGGAAGTCCAGATTAAACAAAGGCCCTCCCAGGAGATTCAATAAAAATCGGCGTACCGGCATGGGCTCCTTCCAAGCCGCGCCGACAATGGACGGTCGGACGATGCAGATCGGTAGCCCGCCCCCCTCCTGTAGAAGCACGTACTCCCCCAGGGCCTTGGTGAACGTGTAGGTGTTGGGCCGGTTGCCGAGGATCTTGGGAGTGATGGTGGCCAGCATGTCCTCCGACATCCATCTTGTGGGGGCAAAAGTGCAGAATTTCAATTTACAATCATCACATCCCAGAGTCAATCAATCAACTATCCCAGTGTTGAGAAAGTATGGACCAGCACTGCACCAAGGTTAATATTTCTTATGCCAGGAAAATTTCGATCAGACTGTGGGGAATTTGGTGTACCCAACACAATGTTTAGGTCCCGGCAAAAACCATCCATCAATAGTTATGTGTGGTCCTTGCAATGACGGAACAAGAATGTGCATTCTAGGTGGGGCTTTTGCCTTTCACTTCTTTAAAATTATTGACTTTGTGCTATTTTACATGTAACTTTGTGAGAAAAACTGTCAATGTTTGCTTACGTGGGATTCGAACCCAACAACCAGCTGCTTGCTGGTACAGACACCTCTACCACTCGACTTCTGATAAGGGTAGGAAAGTACTCAAGTTACTCACTCTGTGGCGTTCATGAGCTTGTACGGGTCCATGGGCGGCGGGTACACCACTTCCTCGATCTGCTTTCTGTCACAGTTCGCGTACGCCGTCGAAACATGCAAGAAAACCTTTAATTTAAAAAAAATTCATTTAAATAACAAACTCATGAAATTAAACACACACCAACTAGAATAGATGTGAAACTTTACTTCCCAACTTCAATGACGCAAATTGGCACTTGTCTTTTTCTCAAGCAGTCAATATCCCATATTGTCACTATTACATGTACTCATATATTTTATGTTTACATTTTTAGTATTGGAAATTTTAAAATATAGCCCTTTGAATTATACTTTGAGAAATATGTCTGAAAAGAGTGTCCAAAGAGGCAAACTGAGGCACAATAAAACGCACCTCCAGGTTTTTCATGTCCTGGCAGAGTTTTATCATCTTCTGGACGGAGCCCACGTTCAGCTTCAAAGAAAGACTGCCAGAAAAGGACAAAAACGGTGTCATCAGCATGGCAATTTAGGAAGTAACCGTCGCCTACTTTAACCACTTTATCAAGTAACCATCACCGACTTCCATGGCTTTGAAAACCTTGGAACTTCAATGAACACGAGCAGTGGAAAATTTCATTACTTCGGGGGAATCGATGTTATCTACTTCAGCCTGGTTTTGAAACAGTGGGTCACATGTGGGTCACACTATGAATTCCGGGTCCAAAAGTTTGACATTCCTGTGTCCCTATTACACCTGACCTGTGTCATTTGGAAATATCACGTAAATTGATTTCAAACTATTTCTATTTGTTTGGCAGGTAATCTGCATTAATTCATCTCTCTTGGCAATTACAGAATGTGTTCTGAACTTACAAAAATCATGTCAGATGTGACAGGGACACACAACATTGGACCCCTAATTTCTAGAATGACCCATGTGTCACTTGATAATAAACTGCCTCCGTATACAATGTACATATGGCAAGTTGTACATTATGCATCCAAAGATTACACAACTGAATTCAAACTCGGAAAAGTTCACACATTATGATGTGTGTATCTATAATGCTTCCCTTCCCTGGTGACCGACAACACCCTTTTCTACATGTTGTATTAAACTAGCTCAAAAAAAAAAATAATTTAATTTATAACTACAAAACGCAACAATGAACCAGCTATATTCATTTGCCCTTGTCGAATGTTCGTGGGTGAACTTTGAGCTACTGTACATGAGTATACATCTATGTTACATTCATTGTCATTAAAACAAACAAACTGGCATAGAAATAGCCACCCCTATCAGCGATAGGCCGAGCCTTTATTTTGCATTCGACCACAACTGCGTTGGATCTTTCGATGTGCAGTGTGACAATTTTTTAACAATTGGTTTCTAACCACGGAGTTGGCAAGATAGAGATCTCACCTTCTTTGGAAGTAGCTTATCCAGGGATTAAAGCATAGATGATAACAAATCTCTAATCCCTTTTAGGTTACTAAACTTAGATTTTATTATCATAATCCATTTCCAAATCTTGTCCTATTATCGTTAATCGGGTGCCATGTGTGGGCTGTGCAAAACAAGATGAATGCATGTTCACAATGACTGTGGGTAACTCCAGAAATTAGGGGTCCAAAAGTGTGACATTTTTATGTCCCTGTTACGTCTGACCTTTGTTATTTGACATGGAAATAGCACCGGAATTGATTTCAAACTATTACTATTTGTTTGGCAGGTAATTTGCATTGAGTCATCACTCTTGGAAATTAGAAAATGTGTTCTGAACTTATATGTCAGATGTGACAGGGACTCAAAAAAAAATTGGACCCCTAATTTCTGGAATTCCCCGTGTTTAAAAGACATGTATACATGCACATTTTAAGCTGCTTAAGGCTGTCTTAAGAAATCTGTCCGTTAAAAAGATTCAAGCTCATTGCCATAACATGAATAAATGTTTTCATCACACATCTCCGACAGAGAATTCTCGATTATTTGACAACAGATTCAAAGAATCTGCAATACTTTTGTCTCAGATACATTATGCCACATCTTGGATGGAAGAGCTAATCGTTTCAACGTCTACCTCCATCCTAAAATGAGGCCAGTAACACAAAGTAATAGACAGGTTGACATTGGCTACCAATTCTTACATAAAAAAAAAGAAATCACTTTATATGACTGACCCAAGTTTCTCGTCAAACCGCACCGTAGCCGCACTGTGGTAGACAATGTGAACTTCTTCCTGTAACCTAGCAACATCCTCCTCCGAGATGCCGAGGTTGGGCTCCATAATGTCACCCTCTATTGTCACCAGTTTGTCCAGGAGTTCGGGGCTCTCCTCCCTGATTTTGTCAAACAGCTACAAAGAACAACAATGCAACCCAAACGTGAGAATTTACAATCAAACCAAACAAAAGAAGTCAGCCTCAAGGAGTTTTAAGGGTTTACTTTGTATTAATAAAGCCAAAACTCTTCTCTAAACACTTGTTACAAAATCGTATTCCCTATGATGCATGCTAGAGATTCCAGCTGCAGTTTAAGAATTTCAGACAAATTTTAAATAACAGCGTAACTGCCACAGTATTCAAAGGTTTCATTATTCATCTCTGTTTGCAAGGCTACAAGATTTTCTGCAGCAGCATGAGATCCGTCCAGTCTGCTCTCTACCACCTCACGTACTCATTAAGCAGTCCTGGGTAGGTTGTTGCAGTGACATGTCTTGAGCTAAAGAACACAGGCACTGAGGTATCCAGGGAATGACCCATGAACTCACGCCATCACGAAGGAGTGACACCCAAACCACTGGACCACTGTACCATACAATTTGAAGGAAGTTAGTTTTAAGAACAAGTTTCACTTGTTTTTGTTGTTCGTCGTCTTTCATGCATCCTTCCAACTGGATCTTCAAACAGCTTTCTCAGGTGTCAGAGTGGGTACGTACCTTTGACTTGGTGATCACAGACAGCCTTTCCCTCGCAGTCTGCCCCGCCTTGGGCCTGACGAGAAGGAAGATCTGTTTGAGGGTGGGGCACGACCGCAGCAGTTTCTCCACCAGGACCTTGCCGATGAAACCGGTCGCCCCCGTAATGAAAATGGACTTGTCCGTGAAGTATTCCGGGATGGAGACCAAGGCATTGTTGTTCGTCGCCTGCAAATGAACACAGAGAACAAAAATATAACGTTTGGCTGTCAGGAGACGATCATTATCAGCAAGCTCTTGTTGTCCTTCCTCAGATCAGGTGAGAGGAATTTCTCACCTGCACGACTTACTGTCCGAAAACGGTGCCTTCTCTTTTTCACTTCCACACAGCAAACTTACCATGGTCCACAGATCTGTCTCCTCCTCTAAAGGCTTTTCCTGAATGTCCACTGCAGTTTCTCCCTCGGCAAACGCAGGCATTTCAACGTTAAGGCAAGTGCCGACAGGCTCTTTCAAATTTTCAGTCAGCGAGTGACAAAAACTGAGCCCTTCTTTATTTGCTTCAAATTTGCAAAGTCAACACACACCAGGGCAGGAAAGTCACATAGGCAACACTTCAGATGCTAGCTAATTGATTCAAGCCCGACACACAAAAATTGCCATGACCAGAATTAGGCCTGCACATGGGAATCACTGGGGAATGTTCCTTGGACACGTACAATGAAGATAAGCTGCACAGTGCTGTCTGAATTATTCAAACTTGCCAGACCCTGTGTGCAAATTGTCCAAATGTATATGTATGCATACGTGTGTGAACCCTAGGAACCGAACAGTGCCACACTGCCCTCAGCACAGGTTAGCACGACCAGACAAATGATGGACTTTGCCAGGCCATCTCCAAGTTTTATAGGGCAGCCCCACATGTTTATCTTTCTGGGTGAAAATTACACAATAAACACTGGGCAAACATGACTTTTAATAAGTTAATATCTGACAAATGGTTGCATTATTAGAGCCACCTACAAAAGCAAAGACATTCCTCAATTTCTTCCTTTCTCTTACAGGTGCAAAAAGATGCGTTGTTACAATAGATACAACTATCCACCTACCATCAATGCTGCTGAAGTTAATTTTCACAAAGTTAAATCCCAACAGTCAACTTTTCAATGAAAATACGATTACAATACGCAGCAGGTGATAAGATTCTAAAAATATACAGTTGATGTCGTCCAATAAGATGCAGTTTTTTAAGAAGCCGCTGCTTCCATTCTATATTTAGTCCGTCTGTCTTTAATTAGCTACAATCCGAAACATTCTTCTTTGTTTGGCATGTTCCGGACCAACAGCGATTAACTGATATAACTTGGCGGTTTTGTAAATTTGACAATGATAACAGATCTCCCCTGTAATCTAACCTCAGATGAGGGAAGACAAACCGATTCTTTTAATAGTGTGTTACTGAAAGATTGGATTTGATTGGTAATGCTACCTAGAGCAGTTAGATAAGCAAGCAAAGAAAGACTTAGAAAAACACTGCGAGTTTTGCTAAACTTTAATGCCGAGTCTGGGCACTTTAGTCTGATTTCGGAATGGTTACCGGGGCAACATGTGCATACTTGGAACTGGCCAATTGAGCATTTAATTCAAACAAGGTGAATGACAAACTGACTTATTTGTGCTTTTAACACCTACCACTTCATTTCTTGAATGCCCAACTACTGCTCAAGGCAGCAAAGTCATCTCCAAATAATTAGCTACATATATATACCAGTTTCACTAATGACACCTAATTATTATTTCCCTGATTTTAATGATTCTTGGACAAGTTGGACAATAGCCTATGACCACCAAATGTGGTTGGCAAGTTTGTCTAAAAACTGATGTCAGAGTTTTTTTTCAGAAAAAAAGGCAGTAGGCCCCAGGCCCATTAATCTAAAATCTTCAAGCATTCCCATATGGATTTTTTTTGAAGATTAAAATTAATGTCGTAGGCCTAAGGCCATGAGACAAGAAGTTGTAGATTTGCATCCACCACCCACATGCCCGGACGCCACTGCCCCCTAAAAATTATTATTTACAAAAATTTTATTATTTGTAAGAAAAAGACACCAAATGACAAAAATCTGAGTTCTGAATCTTCTGGAAGCTGTATTTAAAACAACACATTTATGCACTTCATCCTTCGTTAGCTAAGGTTACATGGCTTTTGTATGTCGGATCAGCTTGAACATTTTATATGCATGTTTTACTGCAGGTCTCTTTTTTGTGATGATCCCTATTTGACCTGATCCATGAACTTATGAAGAACCAACATGTATATGTAGCTCATCCCTTAGCAAGGAAATTGGTTGTAGTCTGGCAGTGCACTTGAACAGTGGAAAACTGTTCCATATACGGACGGCACTAATCTTCCCTTAAAATGTTATAACAGCTATCAAAAAGTGATAACATGTCCTAAAAAGTGAAATTTAGCTGAGAAAATTGTCAAGCATTTATTTAGATAACACTTATATTTTTTCAGCCAAGTGTCATAGGTTTGTGCACAGAGGCATCAAGTGTTGTGCGTATGAAGAACTCTTTCCAAAAAGCATCTGTACTTGGGGGTTGAAATAAAATAATAAATAATGAATAATGAAAAGTGAAAACTATGCCTCATGTGTTTTTGAAATTTTCAGGACGCAAACCTAACATGCGTGTCCCCCCCCCGCGTGATCGTCTAGTCGCCAGATCCCTAATTTCGCCACCTATTGTCAAATCTGATTGGTTTTCACAGTGAGTGGCAAAGTAAGGGACCTGGCCACTATATTGTCATGCACATTACAACTTCTATCCTCATGGCCACTAAATGGTGTAACGCTACTTATTAGGCCAGGCCCAAGGCACGGAGCCATTTAAATTAAATGCTAATTTTCTTTAAGACAGTGTCTGTGAAGGTACCTTAACTTTAGGTTATGAGAATGAATATCCCGGATTTCCGTCCATCGCCAGCATACCGCAGAAATAGCCGCCAACAAATTTCATTATTTTCCAGAAAGTTATTTTTTCCTGTCGGGAATGGTCAAAAATGGCTACAAATGGCAGGATGCAAGACGGACTGCAAGCTTGTCTACTTTCAAGGTTTGTCCCTTTGCATAGATCAGAGAATGGATGCGTACAAGGTACACGATATCGATGTGCGGTATGTACACCAACTAATCATGACTAATGAATTATGAATCATGAAAAAAAGCATGGGTTTTTCAAATTGTCTGGACGGAAATCTGGGATCTTCATTCTCACCATGCTCATGGCCTTACTAGGGCAAATGATTTTTTTTGTCATTCACAGATCCGTGCACATGCCTCTGAGGGCGCCAATTAAAATGCTGTGCTAGGCCTACCTTGCGAAAGTAGGAAGCGACTTAATACTAGCCCGTGAAACCTGGTGCGCTACTTTTTTTCAGTAGCTGGGGTGACAAATGATTCGTGAAGAGGGGACAATGCAATACACCATTTAAGATATTTCAAAAACGCGNATCGTTAGCTAAGGCTACATGGCTTTTGTATGTCGGATCAGCTTGAACGTTTTATATGCATGTTTTACTGCAGGTCTCTTTTTTGTGATGATCCCTATTTGACCTGATCCATGAACTTATGAAGAACCATCAAAAAGTGATAACATGTCCTAAAAAGTGAAATTTAGCTGAGAAAATTGTCAAGCATTTATTTAGATAACACTTATATTTTTTCAGCCAAGTGTCATAGGTTTGTGCACAGAGGCACCAAGTGTTGTCCGTATGTGGAACTCTTTCCAAAAAGCGTCTGTACTTGGGGATTGAAATTAAATAATGAATAATGAAAAGTGGAAAATATGCCTCATGTGTTTTTGAAATTTTCAGGACGCAAACCTAACATGCGTGTCCCCCCCCCCGCGTGATCGTCTAGTCGCCAGATCCCTAATTTCGCCACCTATTGTCAAATCTGATTGGTTTTCACAGTGAGTGGCAAAGTAAGGGACCTGGCCACTATATTGTCATGCACATTACAACTTCTATCCTCATGGCCACTAAATGGTGTAACGTTACTTATTAGGCCAGGCCCAAGGCACGGAGCCATTTAAATTAAATGCTAATTTTCTTTAAGACTGTGTCTGTGAAGGTACCTTAACTTTAGGTTATGAGAATGAATATCCCGGATTTCCGTCCACCGCCAGCATACCGCAGAAATAGCCGCCAACAAATTTCATTATTTTCCAGAAAGTTATTTTTTCCTGTCGGGAATGGTCAAAAATGGCTACAAATGGCAGGATGCAAGACGGACTGCAAGCTTGTCTACTTTCAAGGTTTGTCCCTTTGCATAGATCAGAGAATAGATGCGTACAAGGTACACGATATCGATGTGCGGTATGTACACCAACTAATCATGACTAATGAATTATGAATCATGAAAAAAAGCATGGGTTTTCCAAATTGTCTGGACGGAAATCTGGGATCTTCATTCTCACCATGCTCATGGCCTTACTAGGGCAAATGATTTTTTTTGTCATTCACAGATCCGTGCACATGCCTCTGAGGGCGCCAATTAAAATGCTGTGCTAGGCCTACCTTGCGAAAGTAGGCCCTATGACGTGTAACGTTACAGAGGCCCCGAGTGTGCATTATCAATGGGCCAATATGTGCTAGTAATTTACATTGGCCTCGCTCATCATGCTCGTCCAGTGTACTACCGGCACTACGAGCATGAGTCGAACGCATGATGTAGGCCCACAAACAGACTTCCGTTTTCACAACAAATTTCCACACAACAGCGGGCCTGATTTCCCATTCAATACCATAAAATCGTTCGTGCTTACCATATTTTTGTTTGGTAGCTCTTACTTATCTCAAGTCTACAGGGTTGTTTGAAAAACTGCTTCCTTCTGCGATCTCCTTCGCGACCCGTTGTCTTCCATCGAGACCAGTTGGTGGGCAAGGCGACCTTGTCGATGTCCTCGATGTTAAAAATATCAGGTGTTAATCTGGTACCCAATGGTGCAGAAAACACTTCCTGTTCACCTCTACGGTTTATTTCCCACATGGCCTCTTGAAAATCAGTGGCCTCAGACTACATTCTTAACTGTTCATACTAAACTTCTCCAAATAATCGCGCGTAATTATTCCAACGAATCGGGGCACTTTTTCGTGGTGAAATTCACTAACATTTCCACAACTTAATGGAGATATTTTTACATAACAACGCCGAGGAATTTAAACATGAAATGATAATCACACATTTTTTTCCTAAGAAAAACAGTTTTAATAAGCTACTAACTATAAGACTAGTACAAGTTTAATTTGTGTCCATTGTCCATTTATGGCGCGCCAATTGTTAAAATTTAGTACCGTTTTGTGTGGAATCAAGGACATTCAACAATAATGAAAACATAAAGGCCTGTGTCAACTATTTACTTATAAAAAAATCAGCATAAAGGATTTGTTACTCAAGGATACGGGGTAGTCAAATAAACTTCGAAATAAATTTATCCCCGTAAGTTTCATTTTCCAAATTCTTGGGGTTTTACGAGGGGGGCGTGTCGACCAAAATGATGAAAAAAAAACTTTGTTCTTCATTTGCACAGACCGTTGCTGCTGCCAGAATTTAGTTCTTATTTTCATACTATTTTACACTGGAAAGTACTTGTGCTTTATTGTGCCTTTTGATACCGATAACAGAAATATTTGTTACTTTTTATATCACGCGCCTGTTCAATAGTCTGAGTGGAGTTATGAACTTGTAGCAAGCACACACACACTCCCCCCGACAAAATGGCCGCTTACAGTACTGACTTTGAGGCTCATAATATTGCCGATTTTAGCCATTTTTAAGGATAATTGTTCCACTGCTTGACACTTTTCACTTAATAGGGCCGTGAAGTCTGTTTGTTGGCCTGTGAGGAGCAGTTAAGCGAGACGAACAGCACGTTTTATTTGGTGAAAATGGCAGACAACTGGGCTAACTTCTCGAATATGCCGAATGCGGCGGCACAGCAGCAGCCTGCCGCGCCAGGAGCGGCCGAGCCGCCAGCCCAGGTAGGCATGGTACTGGTAGGCGCCTACATGTAGGTTGCTGTTGTCGTGGGCCTAGGCAAGTACAGTGTATTGAGAAGTCAGCTAGTCTGAGCAGTGCCTTTATTTTAAAAGTTACAGTCTAGAAATCATGTTTCGAAATTTAATCAGCCTCTTGGAAAAGATGATCATGTTGATTTAATGTTGTTGTCCTGACGTCAATTTTTTTCTAAGCCTAAGGCCGTAAAAATGAAAGTTTTAGATTTGCATGCAGAACATTTCGGAAAAGCATGAGGCGTTTTTTCATTATTCATTATTTACTTTAAGCAAGATGGCATGTATAGTGACCGTCCCGACTGTGTCAGTGATCGGGAGTTAGTCGCTGTAGAAAATGAATGACCCAAATCAAAACCAAAATTTCACAGACTTTTATGTGCTGGAAATCGCCCAAAGTAATACATCGGTGGTTTGATGGGGTGAGTGATCCATACACACAAAAAGGTTCTCATACTTACAAGACATTTTCGCTGAGTCCCCACGTTTTGAACGGACCGCTGTGGGGCCTAGGATATACAGAGGGAGTCCAATAGACTGGCCCCCAGTTTGGAGCTATGCGTATGCATGATGTAGGTCTATTTTAGGAGATTTTAGGCCTAGGAGCTTATCGTTTTTGTAGTAAGCAAGGTAGGCATGCGTAGGTACCTAGGTATGTGCATTTGATACCCTTTTACTGGTGCTTTGTGATTTGGGATTTTAAATCTTTGTTTAATAACCTTTTTTGTGAAAATTATTAAATTTTTTGTAAGTAATGAATTTTTTTGGCGGGGAGTTTTGGAGCAAGTAGGCGATGGACGCAAATCTAAAACTTTCATTCTCGTGGCCTAATAATATTTCCGTAATTTCAGTCAACTGAACATGCTGAAGGTTATTTATTGCAAACATTGTCAAAAAAAAATCCAAAGATTGAAAAGACAAAGATTCCTTTCCAATTTTGTCAGAAAAGTCATTTGAAAATAATGCCAAATCTCTTTGTAAAATTGTACACCGGGAAATGGAATGTGGTCGGGGTTCACACTGCTTCTTCCTTTCTTCCCTAAATTACAATATATGGGCCTTATATAGTTGATATTTTATGATTGAATTACTTTAGTTCTTGTTTGTTTTTTGTTCCGGTCACACCAAGGCCTGACCCCAAAGAGAAAGAATACAAAGGGGATAGCCTCTATTTGTGACTCACAACCATGTCAACACAGATTTCAATGTCTGTATTCCCCAATTTTCTAGGTAGAAGCGGGTGGAATGGATGATGACTGGGGCGACTTTGGTGGTTTCGAGGAGGCAGTGGCGCCTCCCCCCGAGCTTGCCCAGCAAGTGCCGGGGCCAGGCGTGGAGGCCAGTCCCTCACCTTGGGCATCCTTTGCTATCGGTGAGGAAAGAGTTTATTGGGAATGACGACATGCGGATGCAGTCGGTCAGTTGCACTGTCAATTGATCCTGTGGGAAATCTCCAACTGTATTTCCCTTGTTCCGGGCAGTTTTTAAAAATAGAGGGTGATGAACTGACGACACCACCATCAACAGACCCCATTTCATGGCGCTGCTTAACAGTTAGGAGAAAGATCCTGTTTCTTGTTGCTGAAAATTTTGCTAAGCACTATTTCAGGGCAGTGCCAAGTGTCATTCCATTCACTCAAACAGTAATTTACATAAAAAGGTGTACTCCATCACTAAGCAGAACAAAATTCTAGGCGCCTCACCATTTTAATACTCGTTTTTCAAAGGGATGAACAGCACAATTTCAGGTAGACGCTGGGCATTTTCAAACCATTTCGCCGTCTCTGTCCGAACCAGAAACGGGCATATGACACTTCATCTGATCTTGATATATAGTATACTGAAATCGGACATGATCTGAGCAGTTTTGGTGTTCTGTTTCACCCTGTGGTTGTTTCCTGACTCCATTCCCCTTCAAACGATACCTAGCTTCCGTCCAGAATCCCGCCGCCGGTCAGCCGGACCTCCTGATGGCCCAAGCTCAAGCGCAGCCTCCCCTCCAGCCCCAGATTGACCCCCCGTTTGCCGACCCTGTGCCCCAGAGGGTCGCGGTAGCAGCCGCCCCCGAACTCACATCTCAGGCGGAAGCATCTAGACAGCAAGCCCAGGTTGGCAGTTTGTTGTTTTTTTTCTGTCAGTACTGCTGCTGAGTATAATATCCGTGAACTGAATCACACAAAACGAGTCATGAGACCGTTTTTTTCTTCCAGTGATTTTGCTGTAGTTTGCATTACAAACTGAGCAACCCGAGCAGATCATTTTGATTTATCACTTACATTTAGCACCGCGATGGAAGTGGACATTGTGGGGGGAGGGGAAATGTTGAGGATTGCTGTTGATATACACCGAACAAGATTCTTTCGAGGGCCGTTAAACTCAAAAGAGGTCCTTGCGTCTAGTAATCGGCATCTCATCCTGCAATTTATTGTAGGCCCAAGCAGCAGCACCACTCCAGAACCAGCCTGTAAAGAACAGCCTAGACGATGACGAAGACTTGTACGGAGCCGAGGTAATGTCCCAAATTGCTTCATCTTTTAAATTTTTAGGGGCATCCTGGTGGCCCTGCACGTGCTGTTTTCTTGCATTTTCAGTGTTATGCCTGCAGATTTTAGAAGCTCCTGTACAAAATTGCTTGGGGACTTGGGGCGGTGAAGGAGGTAACTTAAGGTCGACCTCGAGGTTTTACAAGATTTATCAGGGTATTATGGGATAGCTCAAATTACCCCTTGTTGAATTTTTGCATCATTCCCTTAATGAACTTCTGTTGCCCCTCAGGGAGCAGTCGGTGGGCCTCCACCCGTCGAGAACCACAACGTCGAGTCGGCAGACGGTGAGCACCTGGAAGAGGTGGACATGCTCCGAGGCGAGATGGACGAGTACCCAGCCAGCCAGCGGTTCATCAAGAGGTCCTCATCTTCCACCGAGGTCTTCGCCGCCGAGATGACTGGGAAAGTGGCCCGGATGGAAGAGCGGCTGTCAGCCGCCGAACGAGAGAAGATTAGACTACTGAAGGTTGGTGGATCCATTTCCCTCAGCCGCTAAGCAAAGATAACTTGCTAAGCAAATAATGTGTGTTTATCAAGAACAGAACCACTTCAATTTTGAGGGCTGTCCTTGAAATCTGGACTGCAAAGAATCCAATATTTCGTACTTGCACATGTAACCCTCACCTTCAAGGGTTTGTAAATTCCATAGAATCTCATTGGATTTCACATGGCTGATATGAAGTATTTTGGGGCATTCAGTTGGCTCCGAGCTGGACCAAGAGAGGATGCAATTTTCCTAGCAACAGAGGCTCCTTTGGAAGTAACTGCGCATCCCTGGTCCACAAACGACCACGAAACACAAGCATTACCCAGTGAAATGAACACTTTCGAAGAACACTGCTCTGTTCAACCGATGAGGGGATGCATCTGCTCAGGGCCGATCAGATTCCTTGTGAAATGGCCAAGGGAGTTAGGGTCAGTACACAGTAGGTCAGTTTGATCATGTCATTCAGAGAGGCTAGCCTTGTTATGAAAAAGTTCCATTCAACGATGAGCTGGCAAGCGGTATGGCTTCTGTTCTCAGAAGTCTTTCCCTCTGGATTTCCAGGTCAGGGAGGAGCTGACAGAGAAGCTGGAGTCGCTGGAGAAAGAGGTCGAAGGTCACCGTCGGGAGGCCGAGGAGCAGAGGCAACGCTATGAGGCTGTGCAGGCCAGGCACACCTTGGAGATGGACGAGATACGCAAAGCGGGCCACGACGCGTTGGCCGTCATCGTCGAAGAGTATAAGGTGAGAGGATTTGATCTCAAGCGACTTAGGTCGGCGTCGGCCACTTCCCTCACCACTCATTTTTGTGTAATCTTTGTTTCAAATCTCATCTGGGGAAACATTTAAAATTTCCTTCCCATAAAAGTTGAGCCCTTCTTAAATGGCATCTTTCCCACCCCAGACTGCCAGTTCTTAATGTATTCATGTATTCTAATTTATGCAGGAACTATGCAAATGTGCAGTCCTCCAGCAGCAAGAAGCCAGTGAGAAGCAGCTGCAGGCAGCCATCGCCAAGGAGACGGATCGGTGCAAGGAAATCCTGCAAAATCAGGTAAGCGCTGTCCAATCAGGAACCTGCCTGGCATTTCCCAAGATGTACCAGTTTTCTTTCTTATGACTCTAATCCTCTCAAATCAACCTGATTTTTTTATATACGATGTAAGGTTTAGGGGGTAGATCCCATTGCACACCGAATTGGTGATGCATGGCCAATTTTCATTTGAATGTGCACAAACCCATAGAGCAGTGAAATGTAGAGCGGTCACTCAGTGGCAATGGAGTTCATAGTCAGCGTAGCATTCTGAGCGCTGTTATGAATGCTTTTGAAATTCAAGCTTTACTGGAAATCAGCGCGCGCGGTGAAATAAATAGTTCAGAGTATTTTGAACCGAGAAGTCTCAATGATTTGTGATTGCTTCGTAAAAAACATCGTCTGCAGCATGACAGACTCGCAAGCGTTCTTGAGGAGGAGAGGAAACAGAATGAAGCGAGGATCAAGGCGGCGTTGCAGGAACAGGTAGACGCCCAGAAGATGATGCTGGAAACCTGCTTACAGGAGGAAAAGGAGAAGAACAAACTGGAACTCGAAAAGGCCCTTCAGGTGGGTGGAATTCTTCACCGTGCCTTCCTAGGTCCGTCAAAATTAGTACTTGACCCATTTTTGGAGAACAAAATCTTGTTTTGAGAATTTATCCGCTGAGCAAAAATTTAGTAGGAGACCAGTCACTTAGAAATGTACGTACCATGGTTTTGGTTGTTATCCTGTTTTTGCTCAGCGAGCATTTTCTTTGCTTAGCAAAGTCTAAGCCTAGTAGGACGTACCTGAATTCCTTGGCAGCAATTCCAGTTGAGTTGTGTGAAATGTCAACCTGCAGCCGAGTGATTCAGAGGCTACTTTCGTCAGCTATGTGAGATTGGCCCCTGGTAGTGCAGTACCTTGAAGACTGTAGAAAAACAGAAGCCAGCAGCTATGGGCAGGTTCAAGCGACGGCAGCTTGTTGACCACGGGATGATTTTCCCTGGTAACTCGTGCATAAAATGTCAGACGGATACCAGGCAAAATTGGCCGGTGGTTGACAAATAGTCGTCGCTCCAACTTTCCTCGTTGACTTTGAAATGTGCAAGAGGAGTATCTTGTTGGGTCCACATGCAGTGTTCCAAATTTCAGTTGCTGTCCTGAAGTCACATGTAACCGGATTTGATTATAGACAGGCACTGACCCCCGCTGAATTTTTTCCTCGATAAAATGAGAACCAAAGTGTTTCACAGCCACTTTCTAGCACCCAACTATCTGATTTGGCAGTAATCAAAAACATGACCTTTTGAAGGTGAAGAACGTTGGACGCTGGGACGCATTGTTGCCATGGTGATAGCCACACCTTTTTTTTCCCCCAGGAAGAGCACAGAAAGAGTGAAGCCGCTCTCCAGAGGGCGCTAGAAGAGGAGAGGTCAAAGGGCAGGGAGATGCTGGAGGCACAGAGGGCCCAGGCTGGCAGGTCGTTAGAGGACGAGCAAAATCGCCTCCGAGAAACTTTACTAAGGGAACTGGAAGAGGACAGACAAAGGAGCAAGGTCCTCCACATTTGTCTTGTTTAGAATTTTAAGGGGGTGTAGAATATCTTCCATACAGGAACAGTTATGCAATCAGTTCCGTTTTTCTATTTATCCAAAAACTGAGAAACAAACTCCTTTTTCTCGTTTGGTTTAAGCCAATACACAGGCATTCGTGTCCACATTGATTTCATACATTCAATAAAAAGGGTCTTGAAGCTGTTGACCTGTGTGTGATTTCACCATTTTGTTGTTTCATTATTTAAATGGACAGTTAATCTTCATATGCCAGGATGGTTGTAAATCGTTCAAAACCTGTCGTGTGCAGGGGTTTTGTTTACAGTTCGACTTGGATTATTTCTAAGTTATACGAAATTTCTTTATTTACTACACGTCAGGAAGCCATAAAAGCTGCATTAGAGGAGGAAAGAAAGCACCAACAGGAAGCCATCAAACAATCCGTCGCCGAGGCCAGGCAAGGCATGGAGGAATGCAATGCAGAACAAAAGCGGGTGAGGGTCCTTTAATATATTCACATATTCAAATTAGGTCCTGTGATGTCATTGTTGGTGAACTACCTGCAATGACATCACAGGACCTAATTTGACGTCAGTAATTTTTCTCAAGGCAAAACCTGATGGATTATTTTTTGTGTGCACACACAAGCAAGAGGAAAGTGAAATTTTCTGATGTCCATCGACACAGGAAAGGGTATTCAATCAGTGAAGGAACTGTAGAGGGCACTACGTAACCTCAGCTGACAACACGGATCAAGTAGGAAAACGATTTGCTTAGAAAAAATGAGTAATCGGCCAAGATGTCCTCACTGTAGGTGTCTGGCTAACTTTTGCTGAGTCCAAGAATTTGATTCATTATGTTTTTAGCAGTTCTTTTAATTTCCTTGACATCAGTGGGTGACCAATCCCAAGCCCCAAGCACAGCATTTGATAGGTTTTCAGTTGAATGAGCACAACACAGCTCAGATGGGGGTGCACCTCTCTACCAAGTTTGTAGCCCTGAGAGATGATCATTTTTTTATGGGTGCATGAAAAAAAGTGGTGCCCCAAAGCACCTGTACTCCGTCTCATTCCCACTGGACACCAGTTTTCCATCGTTGACTCTTGTAGCTGGACGCTGTGGTACGGCACAGATCCATGGCCAGTCTGGATCTCTTCCTGGAGAGCGCAAGACAGCAGCTGAAATCCCTAATGGATGACAAACCGGTGGGAGAACCAGTGGACGCACCTGACAACTCTTCCTAAACTTTAATATACAGCTCTTAACGTGTATAAAGGTAATTTATAGAATCTCCATTTTTGTATGTGTATATATCTGTCAGACACAGGTACAGTGATTTTCTTGATGCATAGATTTTTTTTCAGACCTCCTGTCGTCAAACTCTGCTGAAGGTACATCCAGAGCGGCTATTTTGTGGCTGTGGCTTAAGCCTTTTAGCATTGACAGTGCTATTGTAGAAATCCATAGCCACAGATAAAACAAGACGTCTGTCTTGGACACAGCCTTGTACAATTCGCCACGTAGAATTTGACAAAGCACTTGAGGACAACCCCCTTCCCGGTACCCCCACTTTGAGAGACTGCCTTGGGTTCTGCTGCCGAATTCGACCCGGGGGGGGGGAGTACTTGGTTAGTGGTAGACGAATGAATGATCCGAGTAATCCACACTTGGTACAGTTCACACCTAGAAACCTTGGCCGTAGCCACAACGGATTTTTGCAGAGTGAAAGCTGCCACCGACGCCACTGCGTGCCCTGGTGATTGCACTCCGCATAGACCTAGCCCTAGCCCTAGACACAAGATTCACAAAAAATTCACAAAAAGTGACTCAGGATACAGTGTACCAAGATGGCAGTTGAATTAACAGGCCTAGCCGCAAAATAACCGTAGAGGGTCCTTCACGTGGCTTTAAGAATAGTTTTGTAGATCTCTGAGATTTTCACCTCATGTTTACATCTGAATGATTGAGACACAGACTCAGTGTACAAAAGGACCTTCTTTTCCAAGACGTATACAGAAACATTAGCATCAGAATGAATCATGCCTCCTTAATGCCGAGTTTTCAATTGTCACTGTGTATTAAAATTCGGAAGAAAAATCATATTTCAGGTACTGCTTTATGTTGTTTGAATTTTGTAGCACAGAGGTGCGACATTACACAGTGGGGTGGCCCAGCTGTTTCCATTTCAAAAGAATTTCACCCTTTTTTACAAAAAAAGTGTTGCGAGATCGAATTTTGCTGTTGATGACATGCATTTGGTTATGCAATATTATCCAGAGTGTCATGGTACTGCGTAGAGAGATTCGAGATCATTGGCAGCAGGTGTTTCGAAAGTAAATTGCAGCTTCCAAAAGTTCCTTGATACCACAAACGAATCGGGTTTTTAAAAAAAAAGGAAAAACAATTTACTGTAAGGAAATCTTTAGAAAGCAGAGCTGTCCAGCGTAGACCCAGGTAATGGATAACCACGTAGCTTTCGAATTGGAGTGCAAATATGTCTTCGAGGCAGTTTGTGGGGATTGCTCAACAATAAGAATCCAGGTCTTAAAGTCATCTACTCCGCTGAAAATGCAGGTCTGTCAATAGCCGTCCTTCCTTTGTCTCTCTCTCTCTGGGATTTGCCGAGTGTATTCGTCTATTTGAACAATGCAATAGCTTCATGTTTATCTGTGTACTCGAACGTGTAGCGTGATTGACACCTAGAGCGTGTAGGACTATATCTGTAGATCGTGAAAGAGTATCTTAAGAGTTGGAGAGGGTAAAAGCTCACCCTCCGATATTAAGAATCAGGCTATCAATGCAATGACTTCGAATGCACAAGAAGTGCAGTGCAATGGAACCGTAGGACAGTCATATATCTCCCTGCTGACATTTTAAGCAACGTGTTGAAATGTCTGTATTGCCTCTTTCGTAAAGCTGCATACAGCTCGGTGCATTTGCACCTGTTCATTTGGGTGGGCCTTAGTCTTTTTCTTTTTGGTTGTCTTCAGAATAAGGAGCCTCTTACGGGATAATTTTTGAGAAGATATTTTATGTAATAGCGAAAGCATGGCTTGTACCAGTGCACAAGCTTGATTGGGGCCCGTCTATAAAACCCACTTTCAGTGTCAGTTATTTAAAGGTCACGCGGTTTGAGGGAAATACGTCACATGGGACCGAATTCCCATATTCAGAAAAGGCGAATTGTTTTTTGTATCATCGACATTGTTTCCAAAATTATGCCAGATAGTTACTACTCAGTATGTTTGACTGATCATTGGTTTTATATTGTATTGCAAAAAAAATCCAGAGATGCATGTAGTTGACAAATGGGAAGAGCCACCAACGTAGGGCTGGAAAGCTCAGTTGGTAGAGCACCAGTACGGTATTCCAGAGGTCGCAGGTTCAAATCCCGCTGCAGTCAATTACTTTGTTCATCTTTATAATTAAACAGATCCTGTCGCTTGGAGAAATGAGCGTTTAGTTTCTTAGCTGAGGCTGTCGTAGTAACAAGTGTGAGTTTGGAAACTCCTTGCTTGTGTGATAAATGCTTTTATACCGATGTATACTATTACAGTTACCAATTGGTGGTTAACTTATCTAAAATATTGGTGTTTTTTTTATCAGAGAGCTGGTTGCTTTTAGTGATACGGTCAAGAAATTGGCCATGTGAATAAAAAATGTGTGATTGTACAGCTATGTGCAGATTAACTTGATTATGTTTTTTCAAACGTGGACAGATCCAGAATCTATTTTTCGGGGGGTGAACTTGTTTGAAGGACCCAAGAAATCTGGAATTTTATTAAGAAACTTTTTTTGGTCTTTCTGGAGGTGTGGTAAGATTTTTGTGGACTTTTTACGTGCATGCAGAAGGAAGAGAATTGAAATAGTCACCGAAAAATCTATTATCTCCGCCTGCTCCCCCTCCCAAAAAAAGATCTGTCGGGGGGGGCGCTATCGGCCCCAGTTGCCCCTCCCTCCCAGATCTATCCTTGTAATGAACAATGTGTGTTTTATGTGATTTCTTGTGCGAACTTAGATGGGAACAGGAGGTGTCCTCACAACACAGGAAGCGAAGATGTTATCTGGGCCAGTCCACGTAAGGTTTCCCCCTCACAGAGAAAAAAAATGTCACGCCTTTTCATATTTTGAAGTATTTCATGTGAAACCAGAGCCATTAAACTAAAGGTTTTACATTTGAAATCGAAAGTGCTAGTTGCAGAAATATTGTCTTTCGAATCGACATGTTCAAGCCTTGACTGGAACCAGCGAAACCAAAGTATAAGCCGAATGCACTCGGATCGTTTCGAAAACGCTCATCGGGCAAAGCCAAACGGTTATCGAAAAAGTAGGCGACAAGATCGTGTGTTGAAGAGCGCCCTCAATCTGAGTCGACATCTCCAGCGGAACAAGACACAATTTGCAACTTAGCCGAATTCATGTGACTGTGGCTCTAGCATGGACACAATCAAAATTGCTCGTGTCATTTTATACTTCGGTGTTAGCAATTTATATATTTGTTTGCTTTTTGTTAATATCTCCGGCCCGGAAACGTAGCCCGTTGATATTTATTTCAAGAACAACAGAAATTTCGTTTGTTTTTTTTCAGGGGGAAGTTCCGGGTGTGAAAAAGATAGTAAGAGAAGATATGAGGAAAAAGAAAAACGCGGATGCATCATTAGGGTCAATATTGTCAGGGAAGGGTGTGTGACGGAATTCTCGATGAGCAAGAACCGTACAGATGTTTTCTTATTTAAGGACCTGGAAAGAAACGGAGCAAGACATTTCGTTGTCCTTGAAGAAGGAACTGTCATGTTATGTCACGAGGAACACTTTCCCAGAGGGCTTTGCAGAGAAGAGAATTAATATTTTTTTGGACGGGTGCGTCGCTCTCCCTTTCAGGCCAGTTTCATGTTGTCACAAGGCGAAAATTTCATCCTCGTGGTCGAGTTCGGGAGGTGAGTCATTTGAACTTCCCTGGCTCTTCTCACTTTTTACGGGACTCAGTGAGGGTGGAGCTTCCGAAGTGCCCGAGAGAAAAAAAAAGCGAGGATTTGACTTTGTTTTAACGGCCCCCTTTCTATGGAGACCACGAAGGGGCATGAAGTGACAATATTTTTTTATCGAGTTGCATAAAAACGAAACAGTAATTATGGTGTCCCTGGGTGTCGTCCGGAGAGCGCACATGTCGCAAGAAATTAAGTGTCAGTGTCAGAGGACGAGATTTCGTAGAACAAAATCGACAGGGTGACGGGACAAATCAATACACGTATTTTAGACTACACATGTACTTCACACCATATCGAGCAACACGGCCGTTTCACAATAGTGCGCCACCAAGAGTTTGCAACGCGTTGGCCAATCACAATGCGTGGAATTTTTCGACCCATTGCTCGTTTGGAAAGGGTCGACAAATTTCTTCAGGGTCTTCAATACTTCTATAATTAAAGTCTTTGCAGCTAAGGCAGGAATAACTGCAAGTCGATCAAATCTCACTAGAGTTTTTAACATGTCAGATTCAAACGCGCGTGCATGATGGACACAACGTATTCTTCGCGTTCACTTTTCTACTAATTTTTAATAATGATAATAATCATAATAATGCACTTATATTGCGCCCTTTCCACTAAAAGTGGTCAAAAAGCGCATGAGAAAGATAAAATTGCTCGACAAAAGTCACAGTTAACAATTATTACTGTTCACAATTAATAATTGGCTAAAAACTGACATATAAAATTAAAAAAAATCTCATTCATGTCCGTGCCGGAAATGGTTCTTTTTCAAACTATTTCACTCAAAATTCAGAGTGATTTTCACTTTACATCGTCTAGTCCTTCGTGTCAATCTCTAGAAAGCAAGGCAAGTGTTATTTCTCGGATGGGGGAGAAGATTTAGTTTCTGGTTGGAAAGCAGGTTTTAATTATAATGGTGCATTATAGTTCCTGGTTCACACACACGTATAATCACAGAGTCTGTTTATTTTGACAACTCAAAGTCAGTATCACCATAGAGCTACAACCCAGCTCTATGGTATCACTGTGCTCTTTTTTGTGTTTATGTTAAAACTGGTTCTACAATCCACTTTCAGTTTCTTTCCTACTGATTACAGGGTCGATTAGGATAGCACTGCCGACTACAGTGTACAAGCCGAGTTCCCCGATCAACCTTCTTCCGATGTAGTATTTTCTTAATTTGACAACAAAAAAGTTTCGCAAATATACATGTACATGTACGTACTATAAAATAGCCAGAGGTCTGCCAAAAGCTCCTCCCCCATTTAATGCGGCCCACAGCTTGTGTGGATGTATTAGAGTGAATGAATCAACTGTGATTTTTGTTACTTTATAATCTGAGCGTTAAACATTAATGCTAACAATCTTGAATCATCCAGTTAAAATACCAAATTTCACCCACCCCCAAGGGGTTAGAGGCCGTGATTTTTGTTTATTACTCATTCAGACCTGGTGCCCTCTTCTGAAAATAAAACAAAACAATCCACGAAGCCTCGGGAAATAAATCACTATATCACATTATCAGGGAATGGAGTAGCCATGAATTCGTCAGTGTAGTTAATTATTCACAACAGACACTTAATTATTCATTCTGTCGGTTCATGACAAAGGAATTTTTTTCCCTCCAAATAATAGCAACGTCTGCTACGAGCGTATCGCAGTGGCGAAAGCTTATGCGTGCATAGGGGGGACACCGTGCACTCGGCCACACACGCGTGCATTATAATCGGGCCATAGAGCTCTGTGATCGGGCTACACACACAACTGCGCCAAACGTCTTTTGTGGCCACTCTGGAAACTTACAGTGAGATTGTGCTATCCATGGGCAAACAATATGATGAAAGCCCATCAGTAAACGTCGTGTCCTTTTGTACGTGTGAATCTAATAACCAGTCTCGATCAATTCATGCGGGGAATTCAGCGGTGATTTTAACGCTGTAGACGTCAACAGTTCTACGGTGATATTCCCCCGCCCCTTTCCTTCTTGCTCGGGATATTTCTGTCGGGCAGCGTGATCGACGCTAGGTTGTCCCAGCGGGAGTTGGCGATCTTAGCCCCGGCCGACACCCCCTTCCGCGGCTCGGTGTTGCTCGCTCACGGAACTCTAGTACAAGATGTGCTGCTCATGCGATGCGGGCACGGCCGTGTTCTGTTGCAAATACATTCTGGTCGTCACGACATGTATCACAAATTTGGTGAGTATTTTATTCAGTGCTTCGGTGATGTTAGTTCTTGCTGGTGATGATCTGCTCTCTGTCAGAGATGGTGTTTTGATTGAAGCATGATTAAATTATGCATTGTACATGTACATCCTGCATCTTAGATGCACAGTACATATGTAGATAGCAATCACATAATGGGTTACCCACGTTATGCATAAACATACAAGACATGCTTGATTATACAACCATAGCCCAACGCAGCTCACTGCGTGTACAATAAGCGCCACCGTACCTTTGCATGTACATGTAATTGTGGGAAAATCATGTAGCCTTGAGTTTTCGGTACACCACTGGTAATGAGTCATTACATGTCTATGGAATATTTGCCCTGCTGTGTAAAATCGCAAAGGCAGATGATGGTACAAGTTGTAGAAATCATAGACATCGTGAATAGTGCAGCAAAAAATCGTAAACTGCAGTACTCGATCAGAAATCTTGAGCACCTTAAAACTACCCATGAAAATTATTGATCGTGTTCTTGTAGTGTGAACTAATATTAAAAGACAGTCGGTCAAAATGTGTTGTCCAGATGTCGAGTAAAATCTTTCAGGGTTTCTGCGAACGATAGGCGTTGATATGGAGTTAGAATACCTGGCACTGAATGGATGCGTGCGGTTTATTGAGAGCTGCCCCGCATTTTTTATGAGCACGGTAAATATTTACTCACGTGCATGTGTATGAGAACAGTGTGGGGTCATATCACAAGCGTATTTAAGTGAAGTCGATAGAATGCTACACTTTTTGATTATTTACGTAACCTTCGGAGGAAACATTTGCCAAGCCTTCGGGAGCTACGCGTATCGTGCATGATTGCACATGCGTTGTCCGTGCTTTCCGTTGAAAGGGCGGGAGTAGACACGTGTTTGCCGAATCAATGGAGTTCCATCATCGGTCATTGATAAGAAAAAAATCTGGTTCTTTGGGTCCCAGTGTTGTAAACTTCAGTGACTTGTTTGACATTTGCAATTGATTAATAACTTGTCTGACAGTCGTTCTTGTGGTTAATCTTTCATTACAAAACAGACAAGCAACTTGTGCATATTATCAGATGAAAGTAAAACGCCTCATGCTGACACTGTCTGGAAACAAGTCATTTGAAGCTACTGTTAATTTGCCAAAGATAAAGCTTTTGTACTTTGTTTTGTTTGTTTTTAAATGCATTGTTCTTTGCGTTCAATATTCCACCATGAGTGACGCTGTGCGTCCCGGCCCACTGTGTCTTCGTAATGGCCTCATATACCGTAAGGGTCCTGTTTTCGAGGGGTTTGGGTTTTTGGAATTTGAGTTTTTTGGGGTGATCCTCCGCCGGCGACTGCGGGTGAGGTCTGTGATCCGTGACGTGTGCGGCAATCGACCGAGCATAGATTCGTTTCGTGATCAATTGTCTGCGACGACCAAACGGTCTGAAATTCACAGTCTGGAATTTGCTGGTCACTTGTGACGTAGAGTTCAGCCGACCGAGGAGGAGATCGGGATTAGATTTAAAACACGTGACAGGTCCTAAAAAGGGAGAGATTAAAGTTTACCCCGATACCTTTACCGAAGTAGATCGACCTCTCGTTATGCTGGAGTTAAAAAGTACAGGCTACAGTCGTCATAGTAAATATACCTGCATGTACGTAGGCTTTTTAAAATAAATTTTGTGGGTTTTATGTAAAATCTGGGAGAGTGCTGTGAAAGTGGTACGCATCTTGTCTTGTAGGTAAGATGGTTATCATGATTTGGAAGATCAGAGGAAGTTTTGTAGACATGACAATTTTCGGGACACTCCGCGAATCCCTTTAAACCGGCATACTCTCACGTCTGTCTGTTGTCAACAGTTACCCACTGTACTGAATCACACGGTTCCGCATTGTGACTGGTGGAGTTTCCATTGCTCTGTGCTAAAATGTGTAACTGGGCTTTTGGTAGCTGGCTACAAAGAAGCAGTCTGCGGTATTTTAAGGATTTTTCATCGGGAATAATGCCTTTTTACGTTGGCCAAAGTTCCGGGAGTTATTTTCCCTCATGTGAAACACACGTGCTCTGTACGTGTTTGGGTGGAGCACGGTTCACTTTGCGTTTCGCCTACATTGCTGCAAGGCAAAATGACGTCCATTAAACGTAATTCACCCCGCCAACTGCCTGACAGAATCTGACGAATGCATCACCCGACCGTGGGAATCGGCTGCATCATCATGGCTAACAATGATTCGAAAGGACTTCTTATGCTGTGAATGTGAATGTTCGATACCGGTAGAATGTGTTGTCAGAGCCCTTTTGGCCCGCGGTTGGCACTTCTGACTTTGTTCGAGCCCCAGCGGCGAATAGGCCGACATTGAATTTTCACAACAGTCACTGCTGCCCAAAGCAAAGCTCATGGGAACGTTTACAGCATCATTTCCATTAAAAAAATTTAAAACACGTACAGCTCTTATTTGTAATACTAATTATGAGCATGACAGTCAATTGACTTTGTAATTAACGCGTGTGTCAATTATGGTCTAAATATAAGGAACCATTTGCCACAGAATGCTTACTTCTGTGTTTGTCGTTAACATCCGCCGTATGTTTTGTGTTGATGTCATAAGGACAAGGAAGCATGCATTCAAAGTTCTATACAGATAAACTTCAGTAAGAGATCCTCTAATCTATTCCAAACTTGAGCATTGAGCTCATCACCGTAATTTATCTAAAAGCATAGAAAACTGACAGAAATAAAAACAATAGCTTAAAATTTCACCAACATCAGTGTACTGTGTAGGCCTATGCCTGGAAAGTTCATCTCTGAAAAAAAATTATGTAATCGAAATGTTGAATGATTTAAGAGATTACGGTAATTTTCAGCAACCAAATTCTCCGACTGATGTGAATACCACTCCTTTTAAGTTGTCCAATATCGTAGAGACTCCTTTTAATCATGCGTTACTGTTGTTATCGAACAGCTGCTCGTAATTTCTGCAGAACGTATCCATTTTCTTTGGCGTGGAGCCCAGGCACACAACAGCTAGCACCCCCACGCACACACACCTTGGAAACACACGTTTATCGCAAATTTATCACAGTTTATATATGCTCGGCTTCCGAATACGACACTATGTCTGTTGATATCCACTAATCTATAACACGGGGCGCTATTTGCCATCCATTTATGGACACCAATCGCTCATGATTGTTGTCCCACCTTTGCCACAGTAGAATAAACATCTGGGTAAGCGTGTACCGAGCATTCCAGTGTAAATCCACCGCCAGCCCATGTGTTAGTCTCAGTTCGGGGCCTCAAGTGGGGCGCTCTTACATAAACTCCGTTTGTTATGCAGATCGCTGTGGCCTTCGCGGAATGAGAAACGGTTTGAGGCAAGGCCAGGCCTTATGGCGCAGTTGCTGTCCGTTTTTACGCCGTGCTACTAGTTGCTTTGGTGTAGGCCAACTGTCCTACCTACCAGCACGGAGGAAGGACCACATACCATACTCCCTTCGTTATACATCTGCACCATTACCAAAAAGTAGCAGCATGCATTAGACACTCAGTCTTCTTAAAAGAATGACCTCAGAATAAATAGAAGGAAGGACTTAAAAATGCCCGTGCATTTTGCCTTTGGAGAATTGAAAAAGATGCCAGAGAACATCTACTTTTAGTTCGTTTCCCAACAGCACAAGATGTCTGCACAAGGGAAAAATCAACTCGGACTGGTTTTTTGTCGAGGAACAGCCGCGCCACGTTTGCAAGATTTGAAGCCTTAAGCTTCCCTTGGTACAGTTTCTTACACAGTGACACACAACCCAGCTCTATGAATGTAATTTTGCAACCGGATGTCTACAGAACGTATCCCGATCGCTGCAATTACTAGCGTAGTTCAAACCATCTATGCTTGTCAAGATAAAAGCTATTCTCCTCTAAGGAGAATGATCAACTGGTAATTCTAACAGACACGGCACGAACTATCATTTGAAACCTTACTTCAGTCGATCAGAAAAGCACTCTCCGGATCACAACTCGCATTCATATTTTTATGGCCCGACCGAGGCCGGCCCGTATTACATTGATCGCTTAGTGAGCGATAAATTTCCCGGCCGCTCTTGCGTTGAATCCACGTAGTCTCGGTGCTATTGTGGCGGTTTTTTTCCCCACAGTGTGGAATCCAGTACTCATATAAGCATATGGAAATGTCGTTTCGAGTGCAGAATTGACGCGGTTGATGCTGCCCAAATATCACGCATGCTTCTGGACAAATGTCACGTGTCGGGGAGAAGGATCATCTGCAAAATCCAATTTAATTTAGGATGCATTTGCGGGAGCAACGCATCTGGGGCGTCTGAATATTGCATGACACCCATTACTGAACTGTACTTGTGAATTGTATAGCTTTGTCCAAACCGTAGCCTCTGGCCTGCTATTTGCAGCAGCATGCCAGGCTCTCCTTACCGCTGATACATGGATTAATTAAAAGCTTGTAAATAATTGGCACGCTATAGCAGAACGGAGGAGTGAAGTAACCCCTCAAAATCTCCGACAAAATGTGCCGTGGTGTATGATAGAATGCAGGGCTGAGCAAAATCACAAGTATTAACTATTCGTAAATGGGCCTTGGTTACTAATGTGGCTCTTTTCAGTAGGTCATAACGCCCACATCAATTTCCATGTACTCCGCGTAACAGTTTACCCTAGGAACGGTTCGCGCTATCCTAAAATCTTCCTTTTTGAGATCAATTGCCGGAATCTAATTGACCTCCTTTCCAGAGCGCACTCTGCACCAAAGCAGTGCTATATCACGTTCCCGGTGTACTTACGAGCAGCTGCAGGACTTCTGGCTTCAAACCTCGCGAGAAATCAGGCCCAGAATTTTAATATAACAAAATTGTCGTTCCCAAACCGTACCTATCCTGTGACCTTTCGGTCCACTTCTGCGATAAATACGTGACAAAGAAAATGCCACGCCGTCGCAGGTGGTGGACAGGCTGTTGAGGACAAGACTTCTCGCCACTGTGACGCA